ACATTATAAAAGTTTTAATTTGAGTAGATCTAAAATTTAATACTTGTAGTGTAATTTTAGTAGTAATACATCTTGTGTGGGGATTGTGACTTTGGGCAATCAAGTCATTAATAAAAGTACAAATTTTAGATATCATGGGTCTATTTTTCAGAGTGATGGTGAAACAAATAAGCATATTATTAGTAGAATTCAAGTTGAATGGTTGAACAAATAAAAATCAAACCATTTCAAATTCTATTAATATTACAATTAGCAAATATAAGATTTATTATGCAATAAATTTAATTTCTAAAACAAATTAATCCCTCTGCCTCCTCTATGTGGTAATTTGTTTCTTTTTGCTAACTATATTCACTCTCTCTCTCTCTCTCTCTCTCTCTCTCTCTCTCTCTCTCTCTCTCCTTTATTTCTCTATTCCATTCTCTTTGTTTCTTTCTATTTCTTTGGCCACTCTTTTTTGGGAAAATTTGTTTTTTTGGAAAAAAAGATAAGGCATTGGTATGATGTAGAAAAAGGTAAGGTAAGATTATGTTGCAATAACTTAATTAATTAATGAAATTTTATAATAAATTTTATAAAGTAAATAAAATAATTAATTAATACTAACTTCATAATTTTGTATTATTTATATTTTTCCTTAACAAAATGTGAACCATTAGATCAAATAAAGTTAATATATAATTAATTTAAAAAAAGATAGAATATTATCTTAAACTAATTAAAATTAAGTTACCATATTATTGTTTAAAAATTAAGACTTAATTGAATTAATTCAAACTAAAATAATCTTAACTATAAAAGTAATTTATTCGAACTCAATTCATTAACATAATGTTATGAGAAAAATATTAATTTCTCAATAAATAATACGATAGAGACTTATATATCTATACTTTTTGTAATGGGATCAACTATAATTTTGAATGTAATTTTTTTTATAATTTTTTATTAAAAATCTTATCTCAAGATTTGCGATTACACTAAAAAAATATTATTTGAAGAATTATTTAATGGAAATTATTAATTTGTTCCCCCATCATAAAAAAATTATGGCTCTGCTCCTGGATGTTGTCATTGTTGTATTCATGCTATTTTGAGTATCGATCAATTAAAAATTTAGAACCCTTCTTTTAGTTACTAGCATACTTTAGCTTTTACTATGTATGAAAATAAAAATATAGAAATGTATGAATATATGATTAGGGTTAATATTCTAACCTAATTTGCTATTTCAAAAATTTATTATAATTTCAAATATAGAAATGCATGAAAATAGAAATGCGTGTGCGGATTAGTTAGCTAATAAGGGTTGTCATATTGATAGTTATTTGGAGTTTGATATCAGGAGTTTACATCCTATGTTGAAAGGTATGGTTAATTTGGATAAAGCTGGGTTGCCTTATATCCGGAATGGTTGATTTATATTTTCATTTGCTTGGTTTACTTCTCACTGGTTGTTCCTTTTTTGCTGCTGCAGTGGTTTCCCTCGATTTTGTTTGGTGGATCTGATGGAATCTGATGTTTCTTTGTTAGCCCTTTGGTCTTGGTTTGTTTCTGTTGCTTCATTGTTGGAGTAGTTTGAATGTGGTCTTTATTTATTTCTGATGGTGTTTTAACATTGAGGGTTATCAAATCTGGAGTATGTTGTTGCCCCTTTGTTAGCTTGTTATGATGTTAGGTAGTTGTATTTTTCTGGTCAAAGCTAGAAGTTAAATGGTGTTGTTGGTTGGGCTTTGATCTTTAGTTTTTTACCAAGTTGGTGCTTGGGCTGGGATGAATCCTGTTCGGGATTTTATTGGGTTATAACTTTTTGTTGGATATCCGGGCTATCTCTGCCCCTAAGGGTATTGGCTGTTGTTATTTTTTTGGGTTTGCTTATTTGATTAAATTGTGTATTATCAGTTGTATGGTCTTCTACCTTGGTTTGTTTTGATTTCACTTTAATTGCAAACTTATTCTCCTGTATTGTAAGCTTTTCTTTTGTAGGTTTCGTGGTTGGAATTTTGATTATGATGGGGCTTCGGCCTCTCACGACAATTTTGCCAACTATGGCTCGTCCCACTTTTTTTGCAGAAAGTTCGTGCTGAGTGGTGATCTTATTTTCTTCCTTTTTTGGGTGTTGTCTCCTTGCAGCCCTAGAATGTTATTAGGTTTTTTTGTAACTATTAGTACAAGGATCCACCGGCTCTTAGGTTTTATTTTGTAGCTCTGTTGAGCATTAGTGAGCTGGAGGATCATTTTAAGAATCTTGTAATCCTGTTTTATATTAACGCGTAGGCCCCTTCGTGGAATTTAACCAAAAAAAAAAAATGTTGTTGATGAGAGGGATTTTGTTGGGATTTATGCTAAGAAATTCTTTTGGATATTTTGTTTATTAGGTGAGTATGTGGTATATAGTTTTTGGTAGAAAGGTTAGAGGTTTAGAGGCATAAGGCTGAAATTTGTATTGATTTAAATGATTTTTGTAAGGTTGGGCTTTAAATTGTTTAAATAGTGGACAATGATGGTGGAGAGTCATTCTCCAATATAATGATTTGAAGCAAGTTGTGAAGTTTAATGGGGTTTATAAGGCCTATCGAGCTATGCATAAAGGACCAAATGACTTATCTATAAATTTTTAATAGAATTTTCATCTATATATACTTAAAACTAATAGAATATCCCTTAGTAGTTTTTTGGTGCTAATGATGGATTTTTCATTGGTGTTTTCAACAAAACAATATATGCTAGTAATTCTACGAAAAATATATGTTTTTTTGTTGGTGAACCTCACTTTATGTTGTAGTCATTGTCATCATATAAATCTAAATTATTCATAGTAGATTCATGTGTGACTGACATTTTTTTTTTCATGCGACATTTAGATCAATTAAGGCAAATTCATACACAGACCAAATACGCAAGATCCAAACGTAAGACCTCTTAGTTAGTAGTCAAAACTTCCAACTAACAGACTAAGAAGAGTAGCATGACAGGCTACTTTGCAATCCATTAAACTTTTTAATTTCCCAAAGCAGCATCTAAAACAGAAATTGATCCCTTAATGTCAAGGTTGATTTGCTGACTCAACAATTACCATTCAAGTTATAAATTTGTAAAGATAGTTATAAATACTATTATTATTATACCATCATTATTTCCTCTATTGAAAGTTTTGATATTAGATTTAAAAAAAATATATGAAATTGTCAAACTTTTAAATTGCAGAACAAAATCTACATTTTTGAAGATGATATATTTTTATTTATTTTTTTACACTGAATAATTTTAATCTACAATTCATTATAGATAACTGCGGCATCTAATTATTAAATTTGGATAATATATTTATGTAAATAGTATTTTTATTTAGTACTCCGCAAAAGTACAAAGTATTGCGTTGATAGTTTATTGTGGAATTTAATTTTCAAATAAAGACGATATTAAAGCTTTATTTTGGACAATTTTCTTTCAGCTTTAACTTTTAGGCGGCAATTCTAATTTATAGTTAGCCACTATTTTTTATCATTTTCAAAAATTATTCCAAACAAAACTTAAATTTGACAATCAATTTGCCCATTGACATTTATTTTTTTTTTTTTTTTTTCAGAACAGCCTTTTTATAAGCTTATTATTCTAATACGTATTTTAAACTAAATCAAATATTTTAATATTTTTTATAAATTATATAATAACTCTTTTGTTTTTTTTGTTTCTTTTGTTTCCGTCATTGCGCGGTGGACTTCCGAAATATCCACTATGTTTCACATTTGATTAGTACATATTCATAATGAAAAGCGAGAAAAATTTATTACACGTAAAAAAAAAAATCTCTCTTTTATATTAAAAAATTAGTCAAAACAGTCAAAAAAATACAAAAACTGTTTGCCATATAAAACCTAATATTCTCCTAATGCAAAATGCAAGAAAAATTTCATTGCTAGTAGAGTTCAAAAGATCAAGAAGAGTGGAGGCAGTGTCAAAATACCTCTTTGTGATGAGACTAGTCCCAAGGCTCCTAAGGAAGGAATCAAGATGCCTCAAGCTTTGGCTCAACCACCACCTTGAAACCCTACCAGGTAGTAATGGCCTTCTTTTTCAGGAGCCCAAATGAAGAATTCATTATTCTGTGCGAGTCCAGCGGCCGACCGGAGACCAATAAAAATGCGCTACATCACCCCAAAATATATCGCGCTCGGAACCAAGCGCTTAACCGGATCGGAGAACTGTCCGGTGTCCGCACAAAATAATAGCTCCAAATGAAGACAGGCACCACACATCCAGCTCTTACCCCAGCTGCAAGAGCTGGGTTGTCTGCAACTCTGATGCCTCTTCTGAACCATACTATGCTAATGTTATTGATAGGGTTTCCACTATTAGAACTGTTACTACGAGGCACGAGTCGTTGTTTCCTTCAAATTTTTGTTTTTGTTTTTGAGAAAGAGTAGAGAAAGACGAGATTTTTGTAGATTAGAGTCATGAAAGCCAGGAAAGGAGAGGGGTCTGTACAGAACAAGTGTGTTGAGCTGTGTTATGGGAGGTTCTAGAGAAGAAAGCATGGCGTCGGCTAGGAAGAGAAGATGTGGGTGATCATTTTGATTGGTTTTGAATTTTCTTTTTTATTTTAGTTTCACTTTCTCAGCATTTAGGTTGAAGAAAGTTTATTTTTAGGTGAAAAAAAAAAGATAAATTTCATTGCCCACAAATTTATGATGAGAAGATATCTTAACTATAAGATTTTCAACAGAAATCTATTTTTTTTTTTTAAATCCAAATATGCATTTCACATCACGATTAACCCCATGCGATTTTTTATAGAAAAAAATAAGATATATTTTTATTATGTTCTGAATAAATATGAGTCAAATTTGTAGGAAAATAATAATCAAAATCATAGCAAAACCAAGAAACTTCATACAGGTGCAAATTTGTAAGAAAAAAATTTATTTTTTAGGTGAAAAGAAAGAAAAAAAAAAGATAAATTTCATTGCCCACAAATTTATGATGATAAGATATCTTAACAATAAGATTTTCAACAGAAATCTAGATTTCTTTAAATCCAACTATACATTTCACATCACGATTAACCCAATGCGATTTTTTATAGCAAAAAAATAATATATGTTTTTATAATGTACTGAATAAATATGAGTCAAATTTGTAGAAAATAAAATAATAACCCTAAAATCATAGCAAAACCGAGAAACTTCATACAGGTGCAAATTCAATATTAATCACCCGCGCATCCAGGCTCGCTATCCGCCTGTACGCGGCCTGTGAAAGTGCGATGGTAGTCCCCGCCATTGACTGCTGCGACCCAAGCCTGGCGGCCTGGTCGACGACGGTGACCTCCACGGTGGCGTCGCTAATGCAAGCCGCCGCCGGCTGCGAGCTTATGCAACGCACAACATACCGACGGCTGCACGCCCCACCGTTGTTCCATATCCCGGAGCCGGCGGCAGCTATGGTGCCGTCGGAGGGGAATTGCGACCGGTCGTTGCCGAAGCACCTTGTTGGAATGTACGGTGGGCTGTAAGAGGAGGCTGTTCCGACGTCAGCGTTGGAGAGGGGGAGGAGGAAGGAAAAGAGGAGGAGGAGGAAGGGAGGGAGATGGCTCATGAAGAAGATAGGGGAGAGATTTGCTGATTTGGTATGTTCTACAGCTTTTATTTTTTCTTTAATTATTGGAGATTTTTGTGGTGTTTAAATAGCTGCGATTCGCCGGACTAATTTTAATGGGTCAAATGAAGAAAATATTAATACGCCGGTAAGATGCTAAATAAAAATTTATTGGCTTTTATAGTAAAATATCTAACGACGAAGTTGTAACGAAGCGGACGGCTATAACCAATGAATTTTTTCTTCAATTATGCATATTTTATAAATTAGTATTTTTCCTTTTATAAAAAATATTAATTTTGTCAGAATAGCCTGAAGGATACATAGGCTTCAAAATTCTTAAATTTGTGCTAAAATTAATGTTATCAAGCCTAAGGTTGTTTGTGAGAAAATCTTCATTTCTTTATTTTTCAGATAATAGTCATAATTTTATTTTATCAGATAAAAGCCACAATTTTTCAGATAATAAACCACAATTAAAAATGAAATTTTACAAAAAGATTATAATAATTTTAAAAAAAACGAAAAAAACTTACTAAATATGTTAAAAAGCTAAAGGTAACAAAGCGGGCGCTATGTCAACACAAGATATCGAACAAAAATTTTCTTGAATTAGATAACTTTGTTAAAATAGTTAATTTTTGCTTTTTATAAAAAATATAATATTACTATCTTTTTATGATTTTATTATATTCATGTAATGTTTGAGGTGTAGTCAATTTAGAATAATTTTTATATAAATAGATCCGAAATAGCATTAAAATCCTTAAATTTTCATTAAAATTCATGTAATTATTTTTTTAAAAAATTTATGTAATTCTGTATATTATATAAGTCAGTTACATTAACTTATCTTTAAAGAGTTGAAGATACTAATTTAATTTTTTTCCTTGTAGTTAGTATTTAGGCCTTTAAATGACAACTAAAAGTGTAAAAATAGGTCTAGTTAGTTCTACATATATCATGCCCACACATAGCATAACTTTCATAAATTATAATTATCTTTTAATAGTTAGTTTGAAAATAACATTTTTTAACATAGTCCCTATAAAAACGGTAAAATGTACTTTATCCTTTTTCTCATTTCTAACGATTTTTTTCAAAAATATGACTATTAATTATAGAAATAATTGTTTGTATGTTTAAAAATATTTATTAAATAATATTTTTAAAAAATAATTAAAATATTTAGTTGCATAATTATTTATTATATTTTTTACCATACATGTGAAATCAGTTCCAACAACAACAACAAGCCTCTATTTCACTATGTAGGGCCGGCTATATAAATCATTTTTCTTCATTTTCTTGTTAAGAGTCAAATTCTCAATGAAATTTAATAAATAAATAATAATTTTAATATTTTCTAATCAAATCTTTTTAGGTCTATCTTTACCATTTTTTTTACTATAGGTCAATTCTAATACATCTACTTTTCTAATCAGGTCATCAAAAGACTAATGTTTTATATGTTAAAATCAACTAAGCCGACTCTCTCTAATCTTATATTCTATTGAAGCTACTCCAACCTGAGCATTCTGTCTCTAAGAGTGAAGCCACTCATCCACCTGAGCATCCTCTTCATTACAACACTTAAAATATTCCAGTATGTACATAGACTATAATTGTTTTTTTTGTTTATAAATCAATATACTAGACTATAACATCTAAAGCAATTTTATGCTTAGTATATGTAATGAATTCAATAAAAAGGATATTTTGAAAGAGTTATATTAATGAATGTATTATCTTATGTGCTATATCTTGTTTGGATATTAGAGTCAACCTTATGTGAGCATTTAAATTATAATTAGGAATCTGTGCCAATCTATATTACTATCAACGAAAATCAAAGAAGAACAAAACTAAGGTCCCAAACCATTTGGGACGGTTTTCTTTCTTCTTCTTAAAGCCGCTTTCTAGTAAAAAATAAAAATATGCAACAGCAAAATCATAGGCACCATACTGTTATTTATGCTCTCTTCGGCTTCATTTAGGACGGCTTTCTTCCTGCTGTTTAAAGCAACTTTTTAGTAAAAAATAAAAAAATTGTACTAAAAAGTTACTTTAAAAAGCAGTAAAAAAACCGTCCCAAACGAAGCCTTCATCTACTGATGTCCCCATTGAGTTTATATAGTACTTAACCATGCTGGTTCCCAGCGTTTCCTTTTGCATATCGCATTGCTTCATTTGCGGTTGATTAATACGGCTCCACATTTGTCTTATCCGACTCCATGTTCATATAAGTTCCTTTTGGCCTTTGAAAGAACTGCCAGTTTCTGAAGGTTGGCGTTAGTATTAAACAATCAATATCAAATATTTTCACTTCATAAGAAAGCAGCGGTGGAGTAAGAAATTTTTTTTGTGGGGGCACAAATTTTGAAATGAGAAAAAATCCTAAAACTTTTTCATCCGGGCTTAGGACCGGCATTTACGGTTTTAAAAACCTTTTTTATTCTGTTAAATAAAAAAGATAAATTATATGATTAAAAAATTTACAGTCAAAGGCACATGATATTAATATTTTTCTTGCATTATAATTTCTCTATTCAAGTCTTCATATTTTGAAATCATTGTACTTTGAAATCATTCTACAATCACTTCATTATCAATATTTTTAAAAATATTTTTTTTCAACATAAGTAATTAAGCAATCATTAAAACAAGAGTCTCACATACGATTGCTCAAACGTTTTTTATAATTTTCATAGCGGAGAATGATCATTCGACCACTGTTGAAGCAATTGATAATATCAGAGCAAGCTTTATAAACGAGAATAAAATAGGATAAATATAATTTTATTGGTCTCTACTATTTTTTGTGCAAGTTCTTCAATACCTCTTAAATTGCAGAATACATAGTTTGATCTCATATTAATGGTAAAACTCTCATGTTAACTATCTAATATAATGAGATCTATATCCAAAAAATCTAACAGATAAAATTTAGCCATGCCTAACAATTTTTGTATGTGAAAAGTTGAATACGAGTCACCTGGATTTAAACATGTCACACACATAAGCAACTCAATATTTATATCTTCAAATCTATTATAAAGCTCTTGTAGGTCATTTTTTTTAAGGGGAAACCCACCAAAGGGGCCTACGCGTTAATATCAAGAAAAAAGTACAAAGTCCTTAAGGGAAACTCAAACTCACTAACGCTCAAAGAGCTACAAATAAAAAGATAAAAAAGAAACCTAAGAGCTTGAGTTTCCCACTCTAAAACAATACAGTGATACCTAGTAATATTCTACGGTGCTTAAGAAAAGCACCCAAAAAATGGGAGTAAACAAAAAACAACCAAAAAACTCCCAGCGACGGGACTCCAGCAAAATCTTCCAATTCATCACCCAAAAAAAAGCCTGCAACCACAAAAAATAGGCAAGAGACACGAAACAGATATGATGGCAAAAAACAATCCTAAATAATAATTTAGAGTAACTTAAAAAAGGATTTTGCCAATTGCGATACACCCCGCAATGCTCCAGATTAATCTGACAAGCCGAAATGATCACGAAAAAAGCATAACACCTGCAGAAGAACCAAGCAAATAGGGCAGCAGCTGTAGAAGCAAAACCCCCAAAGACTAACCTAAAACGGACGGAGTAGCAACCAATAGCAGGAAGCACTTCAGCAAAATACCACATAAAGAGAACACTCCAAATGATACTACAAGAAACTTCCCAAACAATCTGGAACAGCCGAAAGGCACCACCTACACCTAGAGACAAAAAAACATCCACCAGAATGACACCACCGACACCAAAATAAGCAACAGAACGAAACCAAACGAAAGCACCGAACAACCAGGAACCAAGAAGAAGATCAATTAACATAAGGCAAACCGACTTGATCCAATTTAACCAAACCTTGAATCAGGACAGGCAGCTTCTTAAGAGAGAACTCAGTTATCATTGCATAGTTACAGCCCATCTTAGCTAACGCCTGAGCACAGCCATTGGCCACATCAGGAATGGTTTAGAAAGAGCAGTTAAGAGACACCAAAATCTCCCTTAAACTCCTCTTAATGTAAAACAAGGAAAAATAACAATTTCTACCATCCAACTTGAGCAACAAATTTAAATCAACATAAGGATTAAGATCCAGAGTAATATTCTCAATATCCAGACTAGCACACAAATTTAAACCATGAAGAACAGCAATTAAGTAGCCACCAACCTTATCAGTTTCCGTGATATTACCAGCAAAACCCAAAATAAAGGCACCATTATGATCTCTAATGACACCACCAACACTAGAGATATTCCCCTCTAGAATACTATCAATATTCAATTTAAAAATGTTAGCAATAGGTTTACACCAGTAAGTATATCTAGTCTCAGCAATGGCGTTAGCCTCCTCCAACTTAATGCCAAAACCCTCCAAAGTATAAAGAACCATCTTAAAATTCTTCATTAAAAGTAAATTAGCAGAAAAAAGAGCCTTCACCTTATCTTTAACTTGGTGAATGATTCTCTGATGATCCATAGAATTACCATTGAATCGAGAATCGTTTCTCTCCAACCAAATGAACCAAAAGGTAAGGGCTGGGATCACATTACGAATGTGGCCTTTATTCCTCACCAACCAACCATTGAGCAAATTATGAACAAAAATATTAGGACTATAAAAATTAAGATGAAATAAGTCCTCAAAATAACTCAAAACCTTAACCGCAATGGGAGATGATATAAAAACATGATGCATATTTTCAACATTAGAACAACATTGACATCTAGAAGTAATATTAAAACCTCTCTTCCGTAATATCTCATCAGTAGGAATGTAATTGTGAAGAATCCTCCAAATAAACACAGAAATCATAGTGGAATGCTCTTGTGCCAGATCATTTTAAAATGCTTAGAAGTCTCATTTTTAGTTCTTAAAACATGCCAAGCATCTTTAGTTTTAAAAAGACCATCTTTAGTAAAAGTACACATCAAAACATCCTTGGAATTACAGTTAAGGGAAATCTTAAGAATCAGATGAATTAAAGAAATAGGAAGAATATTGGAAAGCTT